CCCCAAAACCCCAAAACCCCAAAACCCCAAAACCCCAATTTGCAAGGATCAATAGAAATATTAATCCAAAATACTATTAATCATGGGAGCATGCTGCACTACAGGAGATGATGAAGCCCAAGCATTTGGGAGACAAGTAAATGCTGGTATGGACAAAAGAAATGATGTTCAAAAAGCTATGAATATCCTTTTTGAAAGGAACAACACTTTCATGAAGCTTGACCTAAGATTCAAAGCACGAGAGTTACCAAATATAGATTCAGGGACCAAGACTGACTCCTTCTGAGTACGTATCTTTGGTTTTAATTATACATAGGTTATATTTGAGCATATCAAAGGTAAGCCTAGGGGCATTCCCAATAGCCTCAATCACTTTTAGATCAGATTTCTCACATTTAGCTTATTTTGAATTTCCTGCTAAATCTTTAACCAAGTTTTAGATCCAGGAAACCCTGAGAATGGTCAATGGATTGAGAGAGGTAGAACAGAAATAGTCGTTAATACCAATGATCCTTCCTTTGTTAAGACCATCAGCATTGATTACTACTTTGAGCAAGATCAGGAGTTTCTTGTCTTACTACACGACAGCGATAATTTCGAAAATGATACTATCTCACTTGCTGGGACTAACTACATCGGTCAGAATCAATTTAAAATCCAGAATCTGGTGTGTAACAGAGATAAAGAAATCGAGATTCCCTTACATGACAAGGAAGGCCAAGGAGCTGGCACAAAAGGCTATGTCACAATCAACTACGAGGAAGAGCTCAGCTGCACAAATCAGGATCTTAAACTGGCTGTTTCTATGTTTGAAGGAAATTTTGTCGAAAATAGAGCATATTTTATTGAGATCAGTAAGATCAAGCCCCACCCTTCAAATGAATCTATCAAAATTTTTAGAAGTGAAAAATGAACTTTTGATAATGAAGCTTTGATTCCTTTCCAAGAGATTATCATCCCAGTGGATTGCTTCTTATGAGCCAAGAATGCAGGAATTAATATCCATGAGATTCCCTTGAAAATTACGTTAAGAGAATATAATCAAATGGGAGATCATAAAGAAACAGCACATATTTCAACAAGTATCGGAAACCTCCTTAATGGAGATTCTTTGATCACACTTGCTGGGACTACTCACGAGCATACCTTTTCATTGAAACGAAACAAAGGCCAATTGGTGAGGACCCACAGCTTCCTTGATTACATCAGTAATGGCTGAGAGATGGCATTTATCGCTGGAGTGGATTTCACTGGATCTAACCTGTCTGGAGCAAATGGGCTAAACCTCCATTCAACTAGCTTACAAGAGAATCAATATTTCAATGCCATACAGCAAGTCAGTAGCATCTTGCTTAATTTTGACAGTGACAAGCAGGTCCCTTTGTTCGGATTTGGAGCAGTTGTAGACCGAAGATACTACAACAACGTGTCCCATTGCTTTGCTCTTAACGGCAATAGCTTCAGGCCTGAAGTGCAAGATATTGGAGGAATCCAGGACGCTTACATGAACACTATCAATAATGTGCAATACGCTGGCCCTACTTTCTTTGCACCAATGTTGAAGAAATGGAACGAAATGGTGTCATTTGAATGTGAAAAGAATACAAAGAAGTATTATACCTTCCTGATCCTCACAGATGGAATGATCCATGACATCAACGACACCGTTGAGCAGGTTGTAGTCTCAAGCAGACTTCCCGTTTCAATCATCATAGTAGGGATAGGTAATGCCAATTTCTCAAATATGGTATTTTTGGACTCGGATGAGCAGCCTCTCTTCTGCAAGAACACTCAGAGCTTTTCCAAAAGAGATAATGTCCAGTTTGTAAAATTCAATGATATAAACAAAAATGGAGACAACTTCGAGGCGCTAGCAAGGGAGACCTTGAAAGAACTCCCGAGACAAATGATCGAGTATTTTGAAGGTGTTGATATTGAACCCTCAGATATGGGAATTCCCGATCCAAATCTTGAGGTGAGGGACTATTCCTCTTACAAAGCAATGGAATTAATGTCGAGTCCACATTTTGCATCAGAGGGCAACCAAGATTTAGTTCAAAAGGTGATCCAAGAAGGGATAGCCGATCCAGATACCATCGAATATAGCGCCTTTAACCTGTCATATGTAAACAACTTGAAATTATAGACCTACCCTGATGTTATAAATCACTCTCAATATTATTAAAATTTGAAGGGGTTTTGGGGTTTTGGGGTTTTGGGGTTTTGGGG